AAGGATGGTCTGAAATTAGAACTTTAACTAAAAGCAGTTTATAGCGGGTAGTCATGTCTTAGACCAGTATCTTCCCTGATAAAGGTCAGTCTTTACCTGAACTGAGCCTATTGTCTTTTTGCACCTAAGATAACAATCCTGAAATGTCAGGGTAACTTGTAACTTCCCTTTTTCCGGACCCCTCAGGGCACAACCAAATACTATAAATTCCTCCATTGTGATTGTTATCATGTTAATTGTTGATGTTAACTATCCTGCACCCACCTAAGTAAAAGAAGCATGTATCTATCATTTTACTTTTTATCCAATTCCGGAGGTCCCCCCACCCCTTTGCTTTCTCCCACCTCCCTAATCTATCACCAGTGGATTTCACGTAACCCACTTATGTCTCCTCCTTTGATTGTAAAGTATAAAACAAGGTGAAGAACTGCCATTCTCTGGAGCATCATCCCAATCTGTTGAGATTCTGTTCCCCTGCAATTGTCTACAGTTTGGCTCAAATAAACTCACAAAATTTTTTTACAGGTTTGGATGTTTGTACGTTAACAGCTGGAAGATATAAAAATTCTCTTTTATCCTTTTGCACCAGACAAAAAAATCTCAGTATGGTTATAGGTAGAAATAGCATCTGCCAAAATTTAAGGCAATTTTGGTGCCCTCATTTTCCTCTGCCAGAGGCAAACACTGTTTAATCCCAACAAGCATGTTGCGGCAACTAAGAATCTAGTTGGCTCTGAATCTTTCTCAGTTAGGGTGGAGGGGATACCACACGAATATGCACAATTGAATTAAAAGGAGGGGGAGAACATCATCAAACTGAACAGTTTTGATTTCCCAAACGCAGGGCAAACAGTTACTAGCTGTGTGATTTGGGGTCCTTACCTCTGAACTCTGGTTTCCTCGTCCATAAAATGGGAAAAATAACATCTATTTCATAGGTTTGTTGCGATGATAAAATGAGAAAACTGATTCACCCATTCACACATTGAACAAATACTTAACCTAAGATGTGCCAGATACTGTTGTAAACAGTGGGGACAGAACAGATAACATAATACATGTAAGGTACTTAGGACAGTGCCAGGGACTTCGAACACACTCTTTAAAAATGCATTTCTAAGGGGACTGACCTGTTTCCTTTGCACCACACAAAACACACACTCCTAAAATTACCACCACCAGCACCGCCACGTGACCCAGCTGAGCTTGGGTGGATGTAATCAGTGGCCTTGCTCCAATGCCCTCTAATGAAAGCAGTCCCAACACTTGCTCCATGAACCAAAGATAGGCAAAGTGGGGGCAGGTGATAGGGACTGACAGCCAGATGTTGATAGCCACAAAGAGGATATTGACAGTGTTTGATATATAGGTGTCCCCTGAGGAAAATCACACAGAGTCCACATCATAAAATGGGCAACCACTTTCAATATAAGTTTAAGTGAAGAAAATCAGTTCTTTAGAGGAACTGGCTAACAAAATGTTTCTCTCTTGATCCTACAGAGTAAAGGGAAGAAAGACTAAGGTAAGATTAAGAGTGGGGCTAGAATGGTCAGGTTTAGACAGTTATAGGCACTTTCTCCCAGGCATACCCCACACAAGGACTAACTCCAGTGATGGAGGCTGAACCCAGCACTTGTGCCTGTTAATAGTATACCCACAGGTTCCTACCTTTATTTTTTTCTTTCTTTCACCCATTTCCTCTTCATTTCCTCTTATTCTACTGTCCTCTCTTCATCTTTTCTACTTGATTTTACATTGTTCAGGGCTGTGGGTCAGAGAGACATGTGCTCCGTAATCAGCCCACCTCTCCCCCTCCGCTGACTTGCCCTCCAGGCCTCCCCCACTGGCCAGCAGGCTGCAAACTGCTGTTTACTTCTCACCTCTAGAGCCACCCCTCTCCCTTCTGTGTCCTTGAACCTGAGAGCTGGCTACCCTGGAACTGAAATTAGAAAATTACCACTAAATTTACATCCACCTGCTTGCAGTTGGGGGTTACCTGGGCAAAGAAGGGCATAGAGTCACATTCAAAGCAACGTAATTTTTTAATGTGAAAATAGCACTAGCTGACCCCCAAGTCGACAGACTGTGGGGACCATGCCAAAGGGACCTGTACTTCTGTGTGACTGCCAGTCTCTTCCACCTCCACCCCTGAAGTCACTTGAGAACTACAAGCAGGCCCTTTGGGTTCTCTTGAACTTGAACTATGACAGGAATATAAAAATCCACCTATTTCCTCACTCCAATCCCCCTCCAGACACCCTCAGGCACACTTACATACACACGCATTTATTGCGTTTGAAAGAATTCCAAGCATCTGTCAGGAAGCACACCCTGAATTTGGGGTCCCAGGACTCTCCCCACTCCCACCTCACTCAGAGTTTTAAAACAGTAAGTGGACGTGACTGGAATTGTTATGCCTTTTCAGGGTCAAGTTTTATTTTTCAGTTTTCACGGGCATAATTGTTTAACCCAGTAAAGCGTGTAGAGTCCATAGAATCTTCTTATCTCTGCCACAACCTGAACACATCACTAATAACAGTGATAACAATAAAAATTCATCTGGCATGAACTTACTGCTTCTTGAGGTTCTTAGCTGCCAAAACCTGCAGAGCTGTGACACTTTTCACACAAAATTCTTCCACTCACTTGACAAGAGTCTCAAAGTCCACCCTCTGAATTGCAGCCGAATGCAGTTCCCAATGTGAAACCCGTCACTGGCCACAACAACTGGTTTACTTCTATGATTATCAGTGCCCTTGTTGTGAAGGCCCCAAAGATATCACACACACACACACACACACACACACACACACACACACACTCCTAATTGTAGTTTCAAACTGTATCATCACCCTTATTATTTGCTTATCAATGAAAATGTACCATGTGCTTCTCAGTACTATGTATACATACAACCAGATTGCCAACAAAATAACAAAGCATGGCCTTTGCCGGGTTGAGAGAGTTTAGAACTACCTCACCTTCAGCAACCTCTCCATTCAGGTAAAGCAGAATGGCCAGGAATGAAGTGAGCTGCTGGTCCGCCCGAGGAACCAACCATCTGGATTTCCCTGAGTGGCTGGAGAGAGGCTGCCCACTCTGGCCTGAGGCCTGGTGGGAGGGGAGGGGGGGGGCAGAGGCAGGGCACCCAGCCGCAGTCTCTTAAAGCTGCTCCATGCAGCTGGAGGACCAGTCTTTCTCCCCTAGAACCTCCCCCCATCCCACCCCCAACCCAAATTCGAGTTTATCTCAGGCTTTTTCTGTTGTCCTACGATGTTGTTGTTTTTTTGGAGCCGGGGTTGGCTCCGTTCTCCTCCGGCCCGGTCCTCTGCGGAACTGAGGCCGTGGCCATGACCCTGACCTTGGCCCTGGACACGGGCGGGAGGCTCCGTGGAGCCCAGACTGCGGACTGCCTGCTGGAGCGCGGGCGGTGTGCGGTAGAGTGGGGACGTGTGTCTGTGGGGGACGGACACACCACAGGGCTGGCTGCCAGGTACCCTCCGCCCCCCAGCGCTAAGAAAAAGAGCAAGAAAGCCAGACAAACCAAACAAACAGAGAGAAGATGAACGGGAAATAGAGAGTCAGTGTGGGAGATTCCGGAGCTGGAGGGCTGGGAAGCACCGCGCTTTCGCTGGGCTGGCCACCCCTGGGCGGGCAGACGGGTGACCCTAGGTGGCCTCAGTCACAGAGGTGCCGGGCGGGCTGTGAACTAACTTCAGGACACCTGAGGGCAGCTCGGGTGAGATGTCTGCAGGCAGGTCTTCTTGCCCTCGGCTTCTATCTCTATTTCTCGGCTCTCCTCCCGCCTCTCTGCACCGAGGTGACATTTCCATACAGGCAACAGCCTGGTCTCATGACCTGGGGTTGGTGAGTTCGGTTGGGGGATTTTGTGGCTCAAGGCAGCCTGGAGGACTGGCGAGGGCAGGAGGGGAGAGAAAGAGATGGGGACCCTGAAGGGGAGCTGAGGGAACTGAGGCAGGGGTGTGTGCCGCTCTCCGTCTCTGTGTCCGTAAATCAGGGGAATCTTCACCTCTTGAGAGCTCCCCTAGGTGAGCTTCCTCCTACCGCTCTGAGGGCGCCCCAGGGGCTGCGGGCAGGGCTCACAGGTGGAAGGTGTGCGCGATCCACCCCGCGCGGGCTCGGACCGCGTCTCGAGGGTTCCGCGAGCCAGAAGACACTCGCGGTCGCTCAGGTCCGCAGGTGCGGACCGCCAGGGACATCAGGAGTGGAGTCACCCCTATCCAGGACCCGAGCCCCGCCGGGCTGCCAAGGGCCCATCGTGAGGCGGGTGTTGGCGATGCCCGGCACGGTCTTGGACCTCTGGAGCTCTGGGCTGAGCCCCTGTCCCCCAGCCTGGGCGGAAAGCCTATATGCTCTGCGGAGCTGAACTGGGACGGGGTTGCACAAGGCTTCCCCCTCCTCTGTCCTGGGACCATTCGCTCATACTTATCCCCCTGCCCCTTGGCCATGGTCCACGAACCGCGGCACCACAGGGCGGAACCTGGGCACGGTGCATAGCCTTGGCGAGCGGGGCCTCCACCCCAAACGCCTGGAAAACGTGGCAATCCAGGCAGCAAGGACCGTGAGGGGTAGGAGAGGGCGAAGATCTCCCTGTCTTTTCAGTGACGGCATCTCGGGAAGCGGGAGGGAGTCGGGTGACAGTGGAGGGGTGTCGGGCTGGAAGAGGCAGCGGTGCCCTGGCAGGCGCGGCTCCCAGGCTGCCTTCTGCCTTCCGCGGGACTCAGTGACCCGCGGAATCACAGCCCTGCCCCGCGCGGTGCCTCGTCTGCCCCTTCCTGCCAGACCCGCCATCGCTCCCTTCAGCCCTCCAAGCCCCAGGAGCCAAAGTTTCCGTTTGAGAATCTGCACTTGTGGGGGACCCTCGTCCAGTTTCCCAACCCGGAGCCCTCCGCACCCGGTTCTGGAGATCGGGAGGGACCCCGCTGTGCCAGGGCCCCGGGCGCAGGCAGGCTGAGAGCTGCGCGGCGCGGCGCTCTTACCTGCTGCGGGTTTGGCTCCAGCTACCTCCCCGGAGTGCGACTTCCTCGGTGCAGCCGGCAGGCGCGGGGAGCCCTTCGCGGGTTCGGGGCGGACCGGCTCCGGCGCGAGCTGCGCAGGGCTCAGAGTCCTAAGCCAGCCGCCCGCTCGCTTTCTCCCTTGATCTTGCGAGAGAAAAGGAAAAGATTAGTTGGTGCCGCGACACCCGGAGGGGTGGGGCGGGGGAGGCGGGGAGAGAGCGGAGCCGGTGGTTCTGGCCAGAACTGCGGGGCTCCGGCGCGCGCCGCCAGAGTCGCGCACATCACAGGGGTCCCGGTCCCTCCGCCAGTCGGGAGCCCCTCGGCGGCTTAGATTGAAGTGAAACTGACTCTGCCCCCGCCCTCCACACCAAACCACCCAAGGAGAAGGAAAAAGGACTTTGGAGCCTGGGTTTCAGGAAGATGACGAGTCTGGAGAACAGAATAGAACCGAGACCTGCATGGACCGGCGAGCCGGGCGGGATGCATTTCTTCACCAAAGTGCTTGGGAAAGTAGTGATCAGAGTAGCGGCAACACCGATCAGGATGCCTGTGGCTATTTCCTAGCGGGATCTGCGGTTGCAAGACTCTGGCCAAGCCTCAGGCTGGCGCGTGTGCGTGTGTGTCCGTGCGTGTGTGTGCGCGCGTGTGTGTGTTTGTGTGTGTGTGCGCGCGCGCGCGTGCGCTCGCTGGAGCGGGTCTCTGCACCGGGCGCCTTTGGTGTTGAGCAGGAGAGCGGATCCCTTCGTGCGTGTGTGTTCCATTAGCTGCAATGGGCGGACAGTTTCTGGAGAGAACATTTACAATTTTCTTGCAGTATGACAGGATTAATTGCTGGTGAAGGCGTTCCTCCAATGAAATCTTCTCTGCTCTCTGATTTGGCGGTTCTTCTGAGCAAATATGACAGCCTTTTCTCCAGGCTCCTTTCCGCTCCTCTCCACTTCCATGCCCAGAGCCCCGCTCTCCATCTGCAATTTCTACACCAGAACCTTTACAATCACTACTGCCACCACCACCACCACCACCCAGCCCCATTCCTGCAAGTATAGGATTGCTCTGAGAGTGGCATGGTATTCTGAGGAGACGCAATGTTGCTTTGCCATTGCCGAAGACACTTGAACCCAGTTTTTCCAGGTGGGAAAATGTTAGAATAAATCCGCTATGCTATGGAAACACATAATCGTGCTAAACTGTTCAGATTGTTTATTTCTTTGGGGCATTAATAAATGTGCTAGACTCAAGAGATATTTATTCTCTAGAGATATTCTTCCTTGTTTTAAACACAGATCAATGCCCTTGTTTTCCATGAATAGGCATTTGGGTACAAAGTATTCATGGAATTTGGGATCTCCATAAAAAATTATAATGCAAGGTTTTTGTGCTCACATCGGCTACAGGTTTTTATTTGTTTAATGAGAAATTCTTTCAAAGAGTATTTATTATTTTAGGTGCTAACCCGTTTGATAAAGGCACAATGACAGTTCTGAAGTACAAGACTTGCTTTTATGAAAGTGTACATGTATGTGAAGACAACATCAATGTTTGATATGTTCTACAGGCTGCATTTTCTCTCGCCCAACTTTGTCAAGCAAATGAAAAAAAAAGTTGAAACCTTAAATTGAATAACACAATATTAGATGCATCCCTTTTCGATCACAAAGACAAACAAGGAGCAGTTTGAAGATGCATTGGTTTAATATAGTTAATTAAATTAAATTAAATTCTCAATGCCCGGTCCTTTGCTAAGTGTCAAACAGCATAGAGAATAGCAAATGTTACTCTCTGTTTTTATAAGCTTCCAATCTTACTGCTAAGGAAAGACACTCATATGAAACACCTATATAACGGTTGACAATCAAGATAAGTACACAGCAATATAAATTCACTAGTAAATGTAAATCTTGTAGTTTCTGCCCTTTCAGATACCTTGCAGCCAACAACAAGCAGGACGTAGCACAAACTTAATTTTGAAGTCAGCCTGAAATCATGCATTACAATACTGTGGCTCTACCTTCAGCTTCTACCCTCACATCCCACCATCACTGGGAGATGTTAAGATATTTGTTAGAAAATCAAGACAGCTCTGTTCAGTCTTAATCTCGGCTTCCCCCAGCATTTGGTCCATTACATTAAGTATCTGATTTTGGCATTTCTTCTCCTTTAGGTGCTCTTTAAAAAATGAATCCACATTTTCACTCCTTACTCTTATTTCTTTCTGCTAAGCCTCTATAAATCCATGGAGTTGCTTGACTGTTTTTGAACACACACACACACACACACACACACACACACACACACCCAAAGCCGAAAAGAAAGGGGCACAGATCTCTGACCAGGAATAGAGAAGAGGAAAACTCAGTAATCTGTTGCTATTTTGTCCTTTCATACCATTAATGCCTTCTTACCCATAGGACTACACATTCCCAAAAGAGCAATAAAGCAAAAAGTCAATGAAAGCCAAGAAATATTTTCTTAAACTTGAATAAAACTAAGTCTGTGAGTAAGTGAACTACTATGTCCAATAGGAGTCACTATACTTATGTCCTTTTGAAGAGGAGCTGCAAAGAGACGCAGCATTTTCAGCAAATGATCAACAATGTTGTCCATTTTCTTCTTCTAGGTCATCAATGAAAACACCTTTTTACCTATACTTGTAGCTGTGCCACTCACTGTGATTTTAGAGAAATCATTCAACTTTTCCATGCCTCGGTTTCTTACTCTGTAAAAGGGACATTGTAATATTTCCTGGGGTTGTTATAAGGAATAATAAGGCTTCTTCATGAAAAGTTTTCAGTAGTGTATGGCATATAGCAAATTAGCCAAAATTATAAGACTGTGAGTTAGGAATTTAAAGCACAGATTTCTGGGTTATGTATCTGACCTACTGGGTCAAAACATTTAAGAGTCAAAATGATAAATATCATGCAATAAGCATGTTAAACATTATGCATCATAATACTAATCCCAAGAAGCCCAATTATTTCCCCCTTCTAGTTTTTTTCTATACAAACAAAAATTATATAAATTCTGAGCATTTTATTTTTCTCTTAAGCCAGTTCATTTTCTCAGATCAAAGAGTACTCCCCCATCCGAACAATACAGCTTTTACATTTATTAGTGACCCATGGTGTGGAACATTTTCCAAAGTGCTTTTGTAAAGACTTTGTAGAATGCATCTATGGGTTTCTCTTTATCCACATGCCTGTTTCCCACCTCAAAGAACACTAATAAATTAGTAATTTCCACTTGTGAAGCCAAACTTCATTACCTACCACCTCACAGAGCTGGTTTTAGGCGTGCGCTGACAAGTGCAGGAGCCTGAAAGGATGACTTTGAATCTTTGACAAAGCTCGCTTCTGAGTAAGACTGGACATGAGCTCGCCACTAAGGTCAGGCGAGGGGGAATGACTGGCGGGTCTCATTCCTGGGAAGGTGCATATTTGAAGCTGCCACGTTGATTTCAGTGCAGCAATAATGGGGCTTCAGTAATTAGATGTACAAATCAGCGCTCTATCATTATAAGTGGATTAAGAGGATGACAAGTTCAACTTGAGTGATTTCCCACTAGGTATGGTGGCCATAACGTTTTCTTAATTTTTTGTTTTCAAAGAACCAAGAAAACGAAGGTGAGACTTTTGCTTATACAGGGAAAATGAGCCCAAAGCAGGGGGAGATCTTGCCTTGCTCTTCATTTCCCACTCACACAAACTGAGAGTTGAGCGAGGGAAGCACAGCATTTGCCAGCAGGAGGTTTGGGGAAGGCAGGCTGATTTATCTCATGTATATGAAGGGGCTCAGAACAGGCCTCCCCAAGTTGTACGGCTTGGACATGTGGATTATTTCAAACTAAAGGCAATGAATACCATACAGGCTCAAGAAACTGCTTTTACCTCTCCCTTAAAGAATTTAAATTGTGAGCCTTGCCCATAAGGAGCTATTATCAGAAATAAAATTTTATGTCTTATCTGTATGGCTGGGAGAATACCTAATTACTGAACATCTGCTTTCCTTATCATCCTGTAAATTATCCTACCCCTCCACCCCCTGAAGCTCTAGGCCCCTATCCCATTCCTTGGCTCAAGATGATAGCATGTGTACCTTATTTTAATGTTCTGTCTTGGAACCTCTCGTGTGTGTGTGTGTGTGTGTGTGTGTGTGTGTGTGTGTGTGTCTGGGGCAGTGGTTCTCAACCTGTGGGTCGTGACCCCTTTGGCGGTCGAATGACCCTTTCATTCACAGGGGTCACCTAAGACCATCCTGCATATCAGATATTTACATTATGATTCATAACAGTAGTTATGAAGTAGCAATGAAAATAATTTTATGGTTGGGTCACAACATGAGGAACTGTATTTAAAGGGCCAGAAGGTTGAGAACCACTGATAGGGGGTGGTTCTTGTATGTATGAAATTAAATTGAATTGTCCCCTGTTAGTTTGCCTCATGTCTATTTGATTATTAGACCATCCAAAGAACCTCTGTGAGGCATAGGAAAATTTTCCTCCCCAACGTATGACAGGAGAACCTTTCTCTTCCTTGATCTCAGTTTGAAAAACAACAATTCTGGGTTTAAAATAAACGTCCACTAAACAACAATTGCTGCCTAAATTGAGTTCTTCAGTCTCCCTCACTGTTTTTGAATTTTTTTAAAAAAGATGTTTTAATGACTTTTAGAGAGATAGGAGTGGGAGAGAGAGAGAGAGAGAAGCATTGATATGAGAGAGAAATAGCCATCAGCTGCCTCCTGCACAACCCCTACTGGGGATTGAGCCCCAAACCTGGGCATGGTCCCTGCCCAGGAATTGAACCAGCAACCTTTTGGTGCATGGGAAGGCACCCAACCAATTAAGCAACAGGAGCCAGGGCCTGTTCTGAAATCTTGATAATAAACACACCATTCTTCTTAGAGTTATTTATTTTTCCTACAAACCTTCTCAGAAAGCAATTTACATGCTTCTATTCTCTAGCTAAAAAATATGATCTCTTTTTCTCCTAGAAAATCCTAAGCTTTCCTTTTTCAGACTCCACAATAGGAGTTTCCATGCACAAGTGGGACGGATTCCCAGTGATGTTTGGTGACAGTCTAACAAACAAGGATTTGCTATTTTTTTCTTTTCCTTTTTTTCTTGAAATTTGGCACCACAGCTGTCTTCAACTCTTCCTCTCTAGCAGCGGCGGTGTGATCCAAAGCCTGAAAACATTTACTGCTGCTGAGTCTAAAATATTTAAAATACAGAGTTATTTTTCAAACAGGGAATGGGAAGAGGGGGATAAAGTGAAACACTACCCTGCAAGATGTTAAGCAGCTGCAATGGTGGTAAATCTGTGTTAAGAATAAAGAAAAAAAAGCCTTTCGGGAGTTAGTTGACTTAGAAAAGTTGTGTGTGTGTGTGTGTGTGTGTGTGTGTGTGTGTGTGTGTGTGTGTATTCCTCCGACTGGAGGTAATGCTGAGTTCCTCTTCAAAGACAGGGGAACTAACACAGTCAACCACATCCACTTCACCTTGACTTTGAGGAACAGCTTAAACTTCCCCTTTTCACAGCTTAAGTCAGATGCTGGACTCTCCGATGGAGATGCGATTGTAGCACCTTCAAAGTGAAGGTCTTATCAGACTCTTCTCTGTGGATAGAGCCCCAAATTATTTGAATCAATAGCTCTTTGTGAAGGAAGGAGTAGTTTCTAGGAACACTCAAAATATTTTTAGTCTGTAAGGAAGCCTAATTTCTTAGATTTTAGAGCAGCGGTTCTCAACCTGTGGGTCATGACCCCTTTGGGGGTCGAACGACCCTTTCACAGGGGTTGCCTAAGACCATCAGAAAACACATATATAATTACATATTGTTTTTGTGATTGATCACTATGCTTTAATTATGTTCAATTTGTAACAATGAAAATACATCCTGCATATCAGATATTTACATTATGATTCATAACAGTAGCAAAATTACAGTTGTGAAGTAGCAACGAAAGTAATTTTATGGTTGGGGGTCACCACAACATGAGGAACTATATCAAAGGGTCACGGCATTAGGAAGGTTGAGAACCACTGTTTTAGAGTGAACTCAGGAGCCGCTCATGGGAATTCACATAATTTCTCAGATCCTCAATTTACCTTGTTCTAAAGCTAACTAAAACTTGCCCTTCAAGGTGGAAATATCAGGTGGAAATTCTACCACACTTCAGGAAAACAT